TTATTTCAGACCTTTCTTCACAGTTTGCGTCTATCTATGTTTGGTTAAATTAGCTCTAAAGGGTTCACCATACATCTCATGATAATTTGAAGCTGGAATCCTTTCGCTAAGGGTGAAGTTAACTGCTTATCTGACACTACGATTTTAAAGTTCGCGATCGTTTTGCACAATCAAAAACTGTTTTAGCGTACACTGGAATAAAAATTAACAATACACGCATAGTGATTTTGATTCATCTGACCACTTTTACAATCTGAAATTAAATCGGTTTTCTGAATTTGCATCAAGCTGTTTTCGCGTTCTACTAAAGCATCCGTTGGACTAATTATAATGCCAAAAGGGTCCGTTTTCATGAAAAACAAAGGCGTGATACTGAAAGTCTAGTATGTACAGTCTCAGCGGCTACTTGGCAGTCATGCAATGGGAGAAAATACGCAAAAGTTTTGTATTGCTTCCGTATATTTAAAACGTTTTAATGGCCAGCAGAAAGTTACGCATCTGCTGTGTTCATTAGTCGGCTTAATTATCTTATAACATGAAATTATTGGTGTCGGAAAATGTTTTTTTTTAATGCGATTTTTAAGGGTTCGGAAAATTCGACTGAGGGAAAAAGAAAAAATAAATAAATTAATAAATAAATAAGTAAATAAATAAATAAATAAATAAATAAAAGAAGTGGCTAGTTTTTCTTTTAAGAACTCTTTAACAAGTTTTCCAAGATAGTGATATTTAAGTGGGAAAACATTGTCTTTCCAAAGTCATAACATTGACGTGTAGCAAAATTTTCACGCAATAAAGAAGTTTAGATCTCTTAGAATCGTTTTCGTCTAATCGAAGTCAAATGAACACGAACCAATTGCACAGTTTTACTATATTAAGCGACGTGATCGTTTCTTCACGTGCACTTGAATTCTTGCACGCCCAGAAAGGAAAAGTGCTCTTCGAACTGAAACGGTACAATCCCGATACTTCCAGACTATTATAGGCTTCGCAAAGACTCCTTATAGAGCACCATTGTAAAGACACAGAACAGGCGGGGAATGGTTTATGTAAAACGAATCCAAATAATATAAAGATGCCTGTTCGCTCCCAATCACAACATTTATTGTTACTATATTAAAGCGAGATTTAGCTTCCCATTTTATCTTCCGCACTGTTTATCGGGCTCATCCCAACTTGCAAACCTTTGGCAATTAAAGGAATTCCTGAGTTTCTCAGAAAACGCCATCTATTTAACTGCAGTACGTTGTACATTTCCGTGTCTATCGTAATAGATTATGGCCAACAGAATTAAAAAAATAAATATTAAAGCCAAGCATGCAGCAAAATCGTTAGTCATTTCTGGGTAATGCTAAATCTACTCTGTTACGATTAACACCAGGTCACTAAAGAAGGAAGTAAAGATAAATGGCGCAAAATTATTTTGAGAAAAATGCGGCTTTCTTCAAAATGGCCATCAACGAGAAATGGAAATGTAAGAGATAATAGTAGACTACTCCGTTTTCTTTTCTTAGCCGTTATTGTTCTCATTTTCTCATTCTCTTGCTCATTTTCGCGAATTCGAAAGCCTGTGACGAAGTTGGTTTATAACAGGATACTAATTCAAAGTAAGCATAACTAAGTTCTGCTTAGCTTAATTTTAGAATAATAG